CTTGAGAACTATGGAGATAGTACTTGAGCAACATTTTCTTTTCTTTTTTTTCTCTTTGTTTTTGTTTTCTTTTATATATTTTTTATCTTATATATATAGTATATGCCGTAGAGTAATATAGTTCTTTATATATAGTATTTTTCTTTTTCTTTTTTGCTATACGGAAAGATATTATCAGTTTGGTAATATTTAACTATATAGGCAAGAAGTTATGACGAGCTAGGTAGTCTCATATAGTGATACTGATGAGGAAGAGATAAACTAGTCTGGACTCTAGGTTGAATTAAAACTATGTTATAGCAGGTCATGAATAGGTACTTTTGAGATAACTAGACGAGTCTTACCATTGATATTCACACTTTAATGTACACTGTCTTCTTTGGTTGTTAAGTTAGACATTTGTAACGCTTGTAGTTTTTTAATTATATTGAATAAATGATAAGGCATGGCTTGCTGAAAAGGAAAAAAAAATATAAAGTTCAGTGATCTAGTATAGTAGTTAGATTATTAAACTGCTATATAATAGATCTAGGATTTAAATCTTATTATTAACAAATTTAAATAATATCTAGACCTATGTATTCAACTTATAAAAAACTTTGCTTATCTCTAAAAAAGAATTTTGAAAGATATGTTAAACCTTATAAAAAATAGGATTGCACTAAGTTAATTAGATATTAGAAGTATAATAGTAATATTATATAAATAAATCTGTATTAGATATATAAGCAGAGACCTATATAGTAGAAACTCTAAGTTGATAAAGTAGTATTGCTTTCGACAATTACACTAGCTAATATTTAATTCAGAAAGAGACTTTTTTAAAGAATATAAATTAGTATAGGTAAATATAAGTTTAGTCTGTAGAAAGAATTAGCAACACTAACTTGGCTTAGCAGCTAACTGAATTTAAAAAAATTTATTTTATAAAATATTTAGAAAAATCTGATAACAAATACTAGCGAAAAGCTATAGTAAAAACTAGAGTTATATAAATATCACAGAGTTTAAACTAAGTGAATTTATAAAATAAATACAGACTGCTCTAGTAGATTTGCTTTAAAATTAACTAAAACTCTGCATACTCACAATATATTAGCAACATATATCTTAAGAGAATCTAAGCTAGAGTTAAAAAATAAATTTGAATAAGCTAGCTAACTTAAGCAGTTAGATATTATAGTAATATTAGTTTGTAATAGGAATAAGTTAGTTGAACAGAATATTTAAATAGATAAATCACAAACAGGTTACAGATATAGTAACATAATATACTACTAACAAATAGTCTAACACCTATATAGTAGACTACTTAAATTAGATAATAACTAAAGTTGTATATGTGGCTTGTTGTATATTCTTCATATAACTAAAAACTATAAGAATTATCTATATATAATCTTATATATTAAACTAATAAAAATTGCTTAGCAATATAAGCTACTTTAAAAATAAAAAAAAATAAAAAAAAATATACTAATCTTAAATAAAATAATCAAAAAAAAAACAAAAAAAAATTCTTATTACACTATTTGAAAATTGCAAAAACAACACTAATTTATTAAATATTCAGCATACTATTCAGCAAATATTTAGCAAATATTCATCAAAATTCGAATGCTATTTGGTACAATTGCTACTACTTAACATTTGTTAATACCAAGTAGTAATAATTGTACCAAATAGTATCAAAATGTTTAACAAATATTTGCTAAATATTTGCTGAATAGTATGCTGAATATTTAATGAATTAGTACTATTTTGCAATTTTCAACTAGTGTTAGCTTATTAAAAAGTAAGAAAATCAAGTAACAAATTCTAAACAAACTTATTGAAGTATAATAAATATAATTTTAACAAAAGAAATAATATAAAATATATAATTAACAAATGTCTAAGCAAATAGTACTAAGTATTAAAAAATATAATTAGAAAGAAAAAAACTTAATAGAATTAAAAAACCTTCTATTAGTCTATTTAAATTAATTAAAGTAATATTCAATAAAAGAGCTAAATAGCCAAAATGAAGTCTAAATTAGAATACCAAACTTAAAAAAAACAATAATTCAAAAAACACTAAAAAAAAAAGTTATATAAAAAGAACTCTATATAGCAGTAAAGAAATTAAAAAAAAAGAAAAAAGCTAGATATATATACAAACAGTTTACTAGCAGAAAAAGAATTAGAAAATAATTTAAATAAGAAAATAAAAATAAGTTAAATAATAACTAGTGAAAAGAACAGTAGTTTAGAAAATGTTAGCTTTAATAATAGAATAGCAGACTAGTCCTGAATAATTTGTTAGTTTATAGATATCTTCTGAACAAACTTCTATGAAAGATTATAGAAATTTCATTGCAAAGTTATATCTAACTGAGAAAAAGAAAAAAGTATCAACTTATGAACAAAAAAAGAGAAAAAAAACAACAACAAAGAACAAATACGTTAAATAAGGAAAATACTTCATCATCTTGGTAATCGTGAACATTTCACCCACATTTTGTTTGGTCACGATTTTCCGTTCGTGATAATGTAAATTTAAAAGTTAGTATTTTTAAAATCCTAACGAGAGTCCTACTGAAAGATTGTGGTGAGCATTATGCAACATTCCACATGTTATTGATTGGTGTGCAATCAGGGGTATGCATAGCGCACGATCTTTCCCAAGATCATTGCACGTCTCGTTATCGCCTGTCTGGGGTCACCAATTGGCGTCGATGTGGTGAGTATAGTGCAAGAGACAAAAGCTCTCAACGGGATAAGTACGGGTGCGATGTCGGAGAACTGGAAGCGAATCGTGGCTACAGGCTTTTCTGTGAACATCCTTCTCTGCCTATTTTATCTATACTGTATTTTACTCATTTCCGAAAATTTTTATTATAAAAATTTAGGAAAAAAAAGAACGAAAAACGAAAACTACTACACCTTCCAAAGCTGCTAAACAGAAGGTTTCTCACGAGCTATAAAAACAAACACCAATTCTTCGTAATTTACCGAAGTCGATAAAAAAAAGCATGAAGAAAACAGAAGGGTTAAAAATCCTAAGAGGAGTCCCGCTGAGAGATTGTAGTGAGCATTATACAACACTCCACATATCATTGATTGATGTGCAATCAAGATCTTTCCCAAGATCATTGCACGTCTCGTTATTGCCTGTCTGGGGCCACCAATTGGAGTCGATGTGGTGAGAATAGTGTAAGAGCTAAAAGCTCTCAGCGGGATAAGTACAGGTATGACGTCGGAGAACTGGAAGCGCATCGTGGTCACTGGCTTTTCTGTGAACGTCCTTTTCGTTTATTTTATCTATACGGTATCTTTCTCACCTCTGAAAATAATTATAAAATTTAGGAAAACGGATAACAAAGAACAAAAACTACTACACCAAGTTTCGTTAAATGCGTAAAAAAAAAAAAAACAGAAAGCTGTGAAAGTGATATGGTGTAAATTTCTAATAAGAATTGACACCACAACTATTACCGGGCCACACCTTACTAAGAGATTTTGTAAAGTCTGCTATTCTAATTTTTGACACTTGCAAATGTGAATAGATAGTCAACTACGCGTTTTAATTGACAATAATGATGAATATCATCTTGTTGGAATCTGAAAGCATTTTTTTGTAAAGGAATCGCAAATCGTATTGACCTCGAATTTGGAACAGACTACTCGGGAAACCGATGTAAAGAAAAGTTTAATAGATTGTCGCGAGGAACTAATAAAGCTTATTATATTATTATTTTTATTAGAATATGAAATTATTAGATCAATGTCGGAGAACTGGAAGTACGTTGTGGCCACAGGTTTTCCTTTTCTGTTTATTTTATCTATATCTTTTCACCTAGATATAATTTATTATAAAAAAATTAACGAAGGCGAGATTTTATTATATATTTTCGATAAAAACGATAAAAACGCATACTGTATGATATTCTTTATAAAATGAAATTAGCTAAAAAAACTCGATTATTTTATTAATAAAATTAAAAATAGTTCTAGAACTTTTATTTTGTTTGTTTGGTTCACGATTTATTTACCTAAAAAAGATGAATAAAAATTTGTAAATGCCAGATGTGCCCTGCAATGACAACTTTAATCTTTTCTCATGTTTTAAAACCACGTTTTTATCCTACCTATTCTTCTGCAACTTTTTTAACCTCTAAATACTTAAAACATAAAAATTTAACTAATATCAATTTCCAATCGATATCACATATTCTTCACAAACCTTTCACAAGCCAACGTGAACAGTTAAAAGGATGGCGAAAATATGCGCTTCAATTTCGTTCAAAACCCACAACTTACATAATTTCATTTGCTGTTTTACATGAATTAACAGCAATAGTACCAATTCCAATTATTTATGTTTTTCTTTCAAAAACTAACATTGAAATACCTTTTCCGCAACAAGCTCTGGACGAGGGAAATAAATTTATTAATCGAATTGTAATTTATTATGGGTACTCACCTTTTGAAAATGGGAGCAGAAAGCTTTTGAATTTTGCTACAAGTTATGCAATTGTTAAGGTACGAATTGACTGTCAAATGTATTTTCAACCTTGTGTAATACTATTAATAATTAGTGTATATAAAATTTTTTATTTAAAGGCATTGATGCCAGTTCGTATCGCGGCTTGTGTAGCGATGACCCCTTGGGTGGCTGAAAAGGTTATAGGACCTTTTAATAGTGTGTTCAAGCGCATAGTTGCCAGAAAATGAGAATATTTCTATTAATCTAGTGATCCGAATTTTCCAATCGATGGCTATTAGTTGTCACATATTTTATTGATTAGCAGTATAATAACATGATTTATTTATTAATTTAATTGGTTTTAATGTTATTAAGTAGATAATCGTTCAGCGATTTAGTTGCTTCTAGAATTTAAATCGATTAGTTGCATGCACATTTTTTATCGGTTAATCTTTTTCAATTTATAAAAAGTTTGGGATCATATGATTTACTATGTCCCGTAAGGTCATTTTCAAGGCATATTATAATAACATTATACCGAAAATGAATATTATAATTAATTGAAATGACTTTACGAGATAACTTCAAATGATTTTTGTACCAAATTGAGTATATGGTTTTACAAAATTTTTTAATATCGAAAATAAAGAAGTTTTTTATTGACTTATTTCGTCAAATACCCAATTTACCTAATGTATATACGTTTAAGAAAATCGTTACTGAATTGTAAACGTTGGAGCTTCGAAATATTTACCGCAAACTATTGACTTGTAGATCCTCCTTCGAGTTGTGCATGGGCGATTTTGAGGGCTAAAATTTATAAGAATATAACAATAGAATTTTTTACATATGGTATTTAATACCAAAAGACGTCCATTCATCCAATAATAATTTTTCTTGCATATTATTGAAATACAAGTTACTTTCAATGTAGTGACTGAAGGACAATTAAATCTCGATACAGGGAAGTTAAACTCAAATCAGTCTATATAATTCTCTCGTTATAGAAATTTACTAATAAAACCCTAGAGATACATTATTGATAAAAATTCTTATTAATTGAATGGAACACTTCACCACAAAGAGAGTACTTGCAATATATACGATACACTTTAAAAATTATGCAAGGTCAAATAGCGGTTAAAGGCAATTATTCACATATTTATTAATCCATTCAATAAGGTGATGACTTTTGTAACAAGTCTTTTACGTATTCGCGAACAGTTTCATCCAGAATTTCGTAAATATCCTTACAACCTGTCGCAGCTAATTTCATCACTGCCTCCAATTTATCAACATGTAGACGTGAATCCATCTTCACAAAATATCGCATTAAATATTTAGTTGGAATATAGCTAAAGAAAAATCATGTCTATATAGAATCACATTACCTGAAGAAGCGTGAACTTTCCGGATTTTGGTAACAAAGCAACTGTTAACTCCGGAGTATCAGCCATTTCTTCAGCATTGTTGAGGTCTAAATATTACATTAGTGACTTTTATACAAATAACCCTACTAAATAACCAATATGTATGTAACAAACATTGATTACCCAACAATATCTGGTCTTCATGACTTCCTGCTGAACAAGCGCAAACATATTCCTGCATTGGTATGCCAGCATCGATCAAAGCTAATGTAGCAGCGTTAATACAGATTTGAATAGTACCTAATAAAAACCAATGAAAATATTGTAATCGCCTAAATCATACATTTCTTAAGACTAGAAATTTGACAAAATACATACCCCCATCAAATTGCAAGATCTGTAAATAGATATCGATCTGAGATCTAGCAAACAAACTAGTCATTATAATCGGTTCAAATGTTTGTTTAACTGCAGATGCGATTTCTAATAATCGTCTGTATTGAAGAATACATTAATTGCGGTTTTTTTTTAAAAAAATCGAAAATAAAACTTTCGCTATTAATGAAAGAGTCAATACCTGTCAGATTTAGATCTTTTTTTCCGTTCTTGCGGCATGCTAAAAGGAGCTAAGCTAATTTCAACGTTGATATTAGCTTTATTATGTATTACTTGAGCTTTTTGTCTAGTCTAATGAAAATCATCGTATGTTAATAAATTAATATTTTTTTACTTTATTTCAATTTAACTCAAAATACCTCTCTTGGCCCATAAACAGCAGCCAAACATTTTGTATTGCCTTGTTCGATATAAGCTGATCCATCAGCTTGGCTTAATACGGAAGGCTTACACTTTATTTTTCTTAATTCAGTAGCACGACGACCATCCTGCCGTAATCCTATAGTCCGAAAGATTCTCTTATTAACGAAATTGTTGATCAAGGAACTAAAATAATAGGAATAACTTGACCTTGAGGGCCTATTAGCTCTTGACGTGACTTTTTTATTATATTGGATAGGTTAACAAACACACGTTTAAACTTTAAATTTCATCGTTTTATAATAAAATTATTTACCATTAATGTTAACGTTAAAGAAATTATCAAGCGTGACAATAGATTACAGGGCCGATGATTTTCTACGGGGTTCATGCTCGGTTTGGTACATACGTACAATAAATCTGGCTAACCCTATTCCTAAATCGGGCCCAAAATCGCTGTCAGCGAAATTGATTAATACACCTCAACTCATAATTAATTAAGAAATACATAATGTGCTTGACAAACTCTGAACTGCTAAGATTACTAAAAAAAAACAAGTAATTTATATAATAAATATTTTTTAATTTCGTATTATCGGTATATATGTTTACTTTATTCTTATATACAGTATAACGATTATTGTAAATATCAATTTATTTGATAGTTTAATATTAAATTGTATTGATATTTGTATCTTACACTTTTACTATTCTATAAAGTACAATAATTAAATATCTAACACATAATGTTTGCCTTTATTCAAGTTTACATATTAATATTATTAGAGAAATATGTAAGATAAACTCTAAAAACATTTAATTTAGTAGTTGTTATATAATTTTTAATAATAAATTTATTACTAATCAATATAATATAAAATTTTATTCTGAACAAATTTACTTAAAAGACTAAAGTAGTTGTTTTTTTTTTTTTTTTTTTAACAGATTATATTAATGAATTATTATAGCTTATACTAGTAGTTAATATTAATTATTAATTGTTTTGTTTTAAAAAAAATAGTATAGTTTTTTTTTTTTTTTTTTACAACAAGGTTCTAATATTAGTTAATTTTTATTAGATTATTTGTAGATTTATATTGATTAGTAAGAGTACAATTATTCATATATACAACTTTAATTATTGTTTATTTAAAGGTTCTGTTTGAAGATTATCTACTAATTGTTATATCTAGTATCTATTTGTAGCTATTTTATTTTAAACTCTCTGGTCTTGTTATCTTTAATATTAATCTAATTTTATTTTTAAACCTATATAAACTTATACTACTTTATTGAGAATTATTCAAACTAACTTGTACTTTAGTTTTCTCTATTAGAAAGGTTTTATCTTAAAATATCTTATTAGTTTTATTTGAGAAAAGCTTATAAAATATCTTAACTATATTATATTATATTTTAATTAAGCTAGTATAAACTCTTATAAATATTTATATAAACCTAGTTTCTATTGTAGTTTTCTACTAAATTAGTTTTTCATACTTCTGAATATTTCATAAGACAGATCTTTCTAAATCTAATTAGCTACTAAGCCAAGTTAGTATTGCTATTCCTTTATATAACAGACTTACTCAGTTTGTATCTTTCATATACAGATTTCTTTTTTAAATCAAGTATTAACTAGTATAACTATTAAAATCTAAACTACTTTATTTAATTTAGAATTTCTACTAAACAGGTCTCTTGCTCGTAGATCTTATTAAAATTTATTTGTATAATATTATAATACAATTCTAATATCAGTCTAGTAATCTTAGTATAGTGATTAAAGAAAGGACAGAAATTAGGTGATTTTAATTTACTATAGAGCTCCTCCTTCTACTTCCTACCTAACTATATGTTATAGTATATTTTATAATTAATATAATATTTAACCTGACTAAACTTCTAACCCTTTACTCCCCTAAAAAATTAGCTAATTTTTGTTACTCTTCTTAGGTTATCAAACTGCCATACAAGAGGTTTGAATTCAAATCTTACTGTTGATGAATTTAAATAATTACCTAGACCTTTATACTCAACTTATGGTAAACCCTGTTCATTTTTAGAGTTGTAACTCTATAAATTATATTATACTAATATCATCTAAATATTAGAAGTATAATGAGGTATTTGGAGAAACATAATATTATATAAATAAATTCTAATAGGATCTATGAGCAAGAGACCTATATAGTAGAAACTCTGAGTTAGTGAAGTAGTATAGCTTTAACAATCACATTAACTAACCCTTGATCTAAAAGAATACAGTGCTCAAAGACTTTAATTCAGTTAGATATATATAAGTCTGTATCATAGTAAAGATTACTATATATTATAGTAATACCAACCTAGCTTAGTAGCTAACTAGATTAGGAGAATCTAACTTGTAATAGATCTTAGTGAGATCTGTAAATAATACTAGTGAGAGCTATAGTAGAAACTAGAATTATATGAATATCTACAAAGATCTAAACTAGATAAGTCTGTGAAATGAGTACAAGCTGCTCTAGTAGGTATACTTCAAGGTTAACTGGTTCTGCAGATATTTATAATATGTTAAGTATAATATAACTTGAAAGAATCTAAGCTAAAGTTGATAAATAGATCTGTAACAAACTAGCTAGTGTAAATAGTTAGATATTATAATGATGTTAGTTTGTAATAGTATGAGTTAGTTAAACAGAGTATTTAAATAGGTAACTTATAGATGAGTTACAGATATAGTAGCATAGTTTAGTACTAACAGGTAGTCTAACATATATATAGCAAACTACTTAAATTAGATAATGACTAAAGTTATATATGTAGTTTGTTATACACTCTTTATGTAATTACAAACTGTAGAGAAACCCTATGTAGAACTTTGTATATCATACTAATAAAATTTACTCAGCAATATAAGCTATCTTAATAATAATAAAAAAAAAACAATTTTAATATCTAATTATTTTTTTTTTAACTTAAGTGATCTTACCCTTAGGTTATTAGTAGGAGGTTTATAAAAAAACCATAAAACAAAAATAAGAAACAGAACTAATGTTC